ACTCTTTCCAACGTTCACCAAATGTCTACACCCAGATGTAGACGACATGCTTGTTCCTAACCCTCAACTTCTATATTAACCTATTTCTACATTGGGTGCTGGGGAGTACAAAGCACTACTCTGTCTTTAATGCCCTGACCTCACCCCTCCCAGGAGCCCTGGGGAATGCTGGATAGCTGTATTATTCCAACAGTACATAAGCATGTGTGTGATACCTTCTTCAGCCTATTGCTAACAGTGGTTCGAGGAGCTCGTCGTAACAAGCTCACCTGCTGTGATGAGCCCAGGATCTCTAGCACAACAGTGCATGTCTACTACTACTTTTACCCTGACAACACTCTCTGGAAATTTATAGGCTCATCACAGGGTATCCCAACTATAAGTAACTTTGTTTTCAACCCACAGAGACCTTATAAGTATTAATTCATAGAATAACAAAACAATGAGTTGGAACCGGCAATTCTAGGCATGGCTCTCCTTGTGACACAGCTTTTCACCGCCCATCCAATCTAGAAAAAGACCTAAAGTGGCTTTATGGCCTGGAGTCAAGTGGAGATAGAGGTGAATGTTCGATAGAGTCTACCTGGCTCATTCGAGACCCCCAATACATTTCCTGACAGCTCCTCAGTACTTGTGCACCTGTCTAGTACCAAGGGAGGGTGCCTTTGGGCAGGTACTCTGCCACCAATAAGGATTTCTGCCAAAGGAGACACCGTGATCTCAAATAGGAGGCTTTTTTCAGACAGGTGAGGCTTGTACATTTCTAATGTCTACTGCCTGATACTCTTCATAGGTGTTAACATCTCTTCCCACACCTTTCAAGGCCACTTCTGGCCTTAACTGCTTTAAGGTGGCGTGCTAACTGAAAATAGCTACCCTATGTTATTTTCTCTGATTCTCTATAGTCTAGCCCCAGCTTTCCCTCCTTCCATCAGAATTAACAAGTAGAACCTCAGGTGTTTTGGGGATTTTTTGCTTTGAGTTCCCTGAAGTTGGCCCACAGATGCCAGGACTTACTTGACTCCTCTCCAGTTTCAGAACTTGTTAGCTTTCCACCCAGGCTATTTCAACGGTCCTAATGTTTGTTCCCTACTTGCTGTCTGTCCAGATAGAGATGGGGCTAGTCAGCTTTCTACAGGGACTCCTAAGAACATTGATTTTCCAGGGTCTTTACTTTCCTAAACACAATCCAACTTTCTTTTGAAGTTTCACATCGGCCATAAAAACGAGGGGGGCGGGGCGGGGTGACTGCTAAATTTGATTATACAGAAAGTCAAAATTTGAGTTTTACAAAAAGGCACCATAGAGTGAAAAAACAAGTGACGAAGACTTAATTCCAAATTAAATAAAGAGTGTCTACAATTCAATAAGAAAAATAGGACCCACTTTAAAAAAAAAAAATGGGCAAAGGATATGACAAAAGCAATTCAGAGAAGAAAAAAATCCAAAAGTTTTATGAACGTAAGAGAAGATAAATTTCAACCTTACTAGTAGTATGCAAATTAACAACCATTTTTCAACTCTCAGCTGGGGAAAAAATATCATGTTTGAAGTGTGCTTGGGGAAGCAGGTATCCTCACACAATTGGTACAGCCATAGCGGGGGCAACTTGGCAGTGTGCATGAAAGTGCCTGTACCCTGCAATCCACTCATTCTGACGACACACAGAGGCATGCAGTTCCCCCTCCCTCCCATTAGGGTTAAATCAGTTCCTACAAGTCCTAGGCATCTTTGGAGGAAAACTTTAGGTCTTTCCACATGAATCATATGCAAGACAAACAGACCTATGTGTTATTAATGTTAACTAACAGAGCAGAACTTCAGTGTGTCAACATGGTAACCATGTGTGTCTCCTTTCTCAAGCTTACAAGAGACCCTCTTACAAAAAAGTGGGGACGGGAAGAGGAAAGAGATTAAGGAGAGAGGGAAGAAAACCCATTCTGTCATTTAGCACTACCGAAGTTATCAGGATATTTTTAGTATCTGATATTCCCCTGGATATACAGAGTCATGTGAATTGTTTTTCACTCACCCCGAAGCTAGTTCCGTGTCTGGAGATTGACTCGAAAGTAGTGCTTTCCAGCCTTTTTCGCAGATAAAACAGCACTATTTGTAGAGCACACTGGCATCTCTAGGATTTGTTGGCCTCTCCGGAGCCTAATGAGGTGGTCCTGACTGCCCCCCAGCTGGAAGCCTTCCAGCCCCCGTGCAATTCTGGGCATGTCATGCTCCCTCTAGTGGTCAGAGTCGCTACCTTTCTTCCTTAATCAGATAAAAAAGAGCACCTGTAATGCAGATGCAGTGTCATGTCTCACCCACAACACAAACTTACCAAGCATCTGTCTAAATAAGACGGAATACTATAAAGCAAATCATTAGAAAAACACTTCTTTCAACAGTCTATAGGTGTGCAGGTATGCTTAAATAAGAAACATTTGTTCTGCTGCATTCAAACCCCTCTGAAACTAGAACCTGAAATTAGAATCTACAACCCTAACTAGCTTTAGAATGAGGAAACAACTGACATCTTTAGAACTGACTCTGTCAGGATTGATTTCAGCCGTCCTCTTTCATACAGCTGTAGTCAGAGGCATGTTTATTGAATTTCTCTTTCCTCTCTTCGCATGCTTCAACTCCATTTTCTGAATATAGACACCTGTCTTTACTAAAATGCCAGGTGGCCCTGGTAATTCTCACTCTAAGCCTGCTTGAGTCCACAAATGGTAAATTTTGGGTATGATCTTCAGGGTGTGATTAGAAACTTGTCTTGTGTGACGTGGTTACCTTGATATCCGCTAGATACTTTTTGGTCAAGGTTGAAAAATGGACAAGAAACACACACTAGAGCTCCAGCTGTCCTTTCAGTGCTGATGGAGATCAGTGCAAGAGACAGAGCTTTTTATGATTGCTCAAACGTGAAGAATTTCCCGAGCTGAGTTTTTTTCCATCCAGATAAAAAATAGGTGACACCTGCCCTGTGATTGGAAGTTGCTAGTATTGTTCATGTAGCCCTGAAGAGCAGCACATGTGGCTCACATTTGTTATCCTTTTGTGAGCCTCCCCACCTTTTTTATAACAAAAATTATTTTAAAGGGCAACACAAAAATTCTGTAAACTGAACCTGGCTCTAAACACATTAATACTACAAGTAGTCCCTCAAATACATACCTGAGTTTAGCTGCTCATGAAAGTTTACAAGCACCACTCCATTCTTAAGTATGCCCCTCCCCCATCCTGAGCCCCATTTCTTGTTCTGCTTATTAAAAAAAAATACCACCACCACAAACAAAAGTGATCAGTCCCTATCTTTCTCCTTCTTCCTTGGTCAGATAAGAGGAGCATCTGAAATGAAGATGTAGTATCATGTCTCACCCACACTAATCCAAATAAAAAATTAATCTGCAAAAAAATTAGGCTTAATTTTTGGAAAATGTTAAAAGCTGGCATAAGTGTATCAGATGAAGTACAATCCTAAATCTATAGAAATGTACTGCCATCTACTGCATATAAAAAAGTCATTGCAGGAGTTTGTTCCTCCCACTGGAATTACTTATTATCAAGCAAATACCTTGAAGTATAATTGAATTTATACGGTATAGTAACTGCTTCAAAGAACTTGTAATTTAGAATGTTTTGTGACCTTTCATTTTTCTCTGGTTTTCTCATCTCTTCAATGTTCCGTTTTGTCTTTTTTAAAAAATATTGTCCATGACCCTTTCACTGAATATTAATTTTGGCAATTATGTTTTTAATTTCATAAAGCTCTTATTATTTGAATATTGTTTTTTATAACATTTTCTCCATGTATATAATATTTTCTCATCTGGGGGTATTAATTGCATTTTATTTTTCTATATCCTTCATTGCTTCTGTTCCTTTTGAGTGCCCCTACCCCAACCCCAACCCATGTGCTTATATGGATCTCTGTCATTTCAGAGGCTTTCCTCAAGCCTGCTTTGCTCTTTCCTTAGTGTTACTCACCAATGCACCTTTTGTACCACTCAACACCTGCTTCTTGAGGAACCCAATCGGAATGCTAGCCAGTGTATGAAAGAGAGATCTATTGGAAGAAAACAGGTATCTTAGAGAATCAAATAAAATCACTTATGCCTTTCCTTCTTGTGAAAATAGCTAAAAAGCATCGATCTAAATGAAAAGGAAGATGGAATGATAGGGGATCAGTTAGGACTTTTCTTAGTGCAAATAACAGAAAAACTCAAGCTAATGTAAACTTTAAAGTGGAATTTATTATAGAATTGGGGCTATCTTATAGGAAGAACCTAACGATAAGAACACAGTCTTAGAGAGGGAATGGAAAACTGGAAACTTTCTGGGAACCCTTAGGAGTGCTCTCTCCATTTCTCATCTCTGCTTCTCTTAATATATAGGCTTTATTTTTATTTCTCAACAGAAGGGGTTAACTGATTAGTTAGCCCACAGGGAAAGTAGAAAATAGCCTCATAGCTCTCAAGTTACAGCCCCACAAAAAGGC